CGGCTAAAATCCAGAATAGCGCCCACCCAGGAGCGCCACTGTAAACGTGGGGGAATTCACAATATCTCTAGGCCGGCTTTTCTCACTCGCTATCGTCCTTCGCACCGCCGCGATATGTTCCCTTTAGTACTGGGGTCAGTGGGGCAACCGATTCCCGGTACTGTTTACAATACCAAAAGGGTTGATTTGGTGGTTGGCTTCTCTGTATCGTACTATGCTGCTTGCCCCGTGATCTGTGCTCTTCCGACTGTATCTCACTCGTCAATCAATAGTCGATCGCAACAACAATTCCAATAATAAGAAGGAATTAAGAAATAAGTATAACCAAATACAGAGTAGCCTATAAATGGCTGGAATATAAATTATTCATTCAGTCAATGGAATGGGTCCGAGATTACTATTATTTAACCCCCTGCTTTCTGCAGTTCAATTAACACCTTACTATTAACTAACTAACTAACGTTCTCCTCGAGAACTTCTTTCAATATCGATCGGTCAACAACGATCCCACTATCCTCTAGATAGCCTAACTTGTATCCACTAACTAACTTAATCACGTTAACAAGTCTTCCAACTCGTTCCCACTTTACTTTGAGAATAAAGCGACTACCTTAGCTTGTAGCCCCAAATTGTCCTCACTAACTCAATGAGATACGACTTCTTAACAATAAACTCTAAATTGTTCTGGTTCGTAAAGGTCGGTCCGAAGCATCCGCGCCTTATGTCTATTTACTCTTATTTTTAGTTAGGGATCCGTCATTCCGTACAAGTCTTGACATTTACCTATGTACCCCTACGCAGCGTTCCAGCCCATAAATTCCGCATGATCACATTAATTTAAATGCTAAGTTCAAAATGCCAACCAAAGCTATACTAAACCAATAGCAAATGCAACTTCACCTTAATTCAAGCTATATTTACATATCAAAAAGCCCAAGGACTTTATTTAATTTTTCCGTATTTTTTCCCTTTTCCCGTGACTAGGATAATTTCTCGATGAACTTAATTTCCCGTTTATCATAATCCGAAAATTCCCATACGTAACCTATTCAAATTTCAACCTGATCGACCTTCAGGGTAAGCCGTTCCCTTAACTGGGGTCCAATTGAGCCAATAAAACATCCCCCAGAAGCCAATGGAACATCCTGTACATTCCTAACATTCAGATTTTTTAATTGCCCTATTCCCGCGTTTATACTGCCAAAATAACATGCGACTACTTTTCTGTGCCATTGACGCATTTCTATTAATATTTCAATCACCAAGTTAAATTGAACCCAATGTTTATTTAGCTAACTCTTAATAATTCCAAAGTATATCACTTTACATTAAACCAAGATATTTCATCAAACTCAGGGAAATGCCTAAACAAATTCCCATACCTACTAATCACCGCCCAAGATCCATAAAATAGCACAATTACCCTTCCTGATTACCAAACATATGATTTGGGTTAATTTCCGGTGCTAATTTAAGGGTTTTGGGGCTAAAACCGTGAAAGGTCAAATAGAGGTCAACCCTGGGTCAAATCTCCCATAATCGGTTTGAGGTCACTTAGGGGTCCTATCTACCAAGTTTCATCCATATCTGACAAATACTTCCCAAGTTATCCCAATTTTGAGGTCCATTATCACTACTCCCGGAAAAAGTCAATTAGCACCGGAAAGGTCAACTGGGAACTAAGACTTACAGGGGTCCATTTTACCGGGGTGGATCATACTACACATAAGTGCCATAAAATCGATATGCCTTCGCGCATTATTCTTCGCTAATTGCTTATTAACACCTCCAAGGGGTGATTTTCCCAAGTGCTAATAGCCCGTGCCATTATCGCCCAATCGGGTCATCATCCTAACATACGATAGACCATGTCACTATCTATCATCCCTGTAAGATTCAGCTCCCCAGGGTTCTTGGGGGTCGAGAAGTAGCCTCTGGAGGTTGGGTGGGGGTTTGTTTGTTTAGGGCATAAGTCGGTGCGGGGTGACCTTGGGATTCCGAAACTTCAGACTTAAGCTTACCTCATCCAGGGCTACTACATACCTAAAAATGAGCTCAATGGGATCAATAGTTAAGGATTTCCGATGGGGCCATTTGCGCTTCCGGGAACCGTTATCACTCGGCCCCAGGGGGTCGGGTAGGTCTGGATCCTTGCATGCCAGGTTCAAATCATCTCTAGTATTACCCCATTAAATTTCATAAAGTCCGCCCCATTAGTTCCCGAGTTGGGGGGGGGGGGGGTTGTTCGGATCTATTCCATTGCCTATTTTCCCCAAAGGAGGGGGATTAATTCCAAGAACTTAAGCAAATACAAGTTTAATTCAATCTTATTACACATTATTCAATTTATCATCGCTATCATGGATTTTGAATCCTATAACCAAATTTCCCAATATCTCCGAGCTGATTCCACAGGAAAGGATAATATTGTCCGACCTCTTTCCCGAAACCAACGGAAAGTATTCCGCTTGAAGGCAAAGAAATATTCCATCGTCGATCACACGCTCTGCCGCGACGGGAAAATCGTTCTTCACGAAGCTAATGTCACCCCCGTGTTACGTAACTTACATAAAACCGCCCTAGAGTACAGCGGAAATTACCTCGAGTTATATCGAGAAGCGCGAACAACATACTTTATAGAAGGAAACCTTCAATCCAAGTGCAGGGATGTCTGCTTCGCGTGTATCAAAAATACCGAAGCCAGAATGATCTTATCCGACGAGATCCCTATGCGGCACCTAACGGCCAAGACCCGCGAACGAATATGCCGGACAATTATGACACCGGTATATAAAGCGAAGGGAAATCGTACGCATAAGCCTCGCGTCCCTGTCTTCGTTGCCGGGAAAAAGCCTATCGCCACTCAAGACTGCGATAGTGCTAACGTTAATACGCACGAACCAATTACGATTGAAGGTGCTTGTACTCTTTCTTTTTGTTTACCGGATTGCATACATTACCTTATTACCGGGAGAAAGGTACAATCGTACCGTCTGCAACGAACTTTAGGGGATCGGCAATCGCGTGAACGAGGACGATTAAATTCTTTCTACTACCCTTATCACGATCCCAACAAAACGTTATTGTCCCGAGGAGTCATTGATTCCGACATGCACCTTCTCGCCGAAATGCTTGGGTTACATATCTACGAGTACCGGACCGACCTAAGTCCCCCTAGATGGAATTACATCGCGGGGAATAAACACTGTCAAAACGGATCGGAAGCCATTTACCTCCAACACTGGATGCAACATGAGGGGGTTCATAAGGGGGAGGGGCATTTCGCCATTATTACGGGGATGCGCCCAAAATCGACATAATTTTCTTCAAAATCCATTTTACTTTCACCTTTACGTATTATTACATATATCCCCCTCAATTTCATCTTGTTATTTAATTTCGACAATTTTGGGTATATCTTATGCACATGCTTCGATTCGTTCAATTCTGACAAATATTTACTAAAAATAATTACCCGCTTATAGGACGTTCGATTTTGGGCTGTGCCAATCATTCTAACTCGAATCACTGCTGTTTCAAGCCAATTTAAAACGTGAGTAAACTTCGGTATAAACTTTCAATAATTTGGTTTGAATATTTTGTAACTTGTATTTCAGCCCATCTTTTCACTTAATTTAGAAACAACTCCTTTTTATCCTATTTAGAATCTATTTCTACACCAAAAACAACATGCCGTATCAAAACATCTGGCTGCTCAACCTTGAGGGGGTTTGGCCCGAGGCGGACCCCTTCTTTTCGTTCATTCAACCTCAAAAAAAGGAATTCCCAGTCAGAGTCCTTAACATCCGCGCGGCTCCACGCTTGGGAGACAAAAAAAAACGAGTTTGACGTGTTCCCTTTGTGGATCACCTTCTTTCGGGACGTCGCTGCGCTGAATCCGGGGAGCCCCGTCGCCCAGGAGTTAATGGGCCAGTTACGAAAGTGGGCCACAAAGTTGGGCTCAAGTCAGAAAGAACTGGCGGGCGACATTGGTGAGGTCGGGTCACTCGTTGACCTGGCCTCCGTGTCTTGATGCTAAATCGTAATTGTATATATATATATTCAGATTCAATTTACTTATGAAGCTGCGTTTTCCGGCTATATGAGTTTAGGTAGAATCACACATTCTACACTCTTGTGCTGATTACTTTAATCAGAAAACTTTCTGCTAATTGCTACTGACTTATGTTGTCGTTCTGACCACTTTACAAGTGAGGGAGAAAGAACTATGGCGTAGAGTGTTTTGTTAAACCTCCAATGGGTTGAGTTTGGTACCATATTATTACCCCCTTTCAGTAGCTATTCCGATTTAGAAAATTTGAAAATTAACTGATCTCCATTTTTAGTTCTGAGCTAAAATTCATGAAATATTTGACAGTTTGACGGAGGATATTTGTTTCAGTGAAAAAATCTTAACACGTAAACACGCAAAACAATTA